CCCATACGAACATAAACATTTTTTTGGACGACTCTTCTCCGTTTCCATCAATTTCTAAATATCTAACAACTGTGGATCGACTCTTTCATTTAGTTTAGTAAGATTTAGTCATTTGATTTCTTTTTTTTATTGTTCTAGATCTGATTTTAGGCATGTCTGGCTAAAACCCTAGTTTTCAGTTCCGCAAAGATTAGTAGTTTTTATGTAATCAATCACTAGACTTGGCTTTTATTATGTGATTCTATCTAATTATTTCAGTTTTACGCTTAATGAATCTTTAGTTTTGATTTTTTTAGCCTGATCACCTAATTTAGGATTAAATCAATCTAGTTAATCAGTTGCTAAAATTTGCAATTGTTTTGATAAACTGGTAATAAGTAATAAGTAACAGACCGGTTCCGTGTTGGGATTTGACTTTGTTATAAACTGAAATTTCATATTTTTACTCTTCCGAGCTTGTGAGAAGTATTGAATATTGTTGTGAATTTTACATAGATCATAGTGTTGCTTTTATAACTTGATTAAGAGTTTGTTTAATTAGGTTAGTAACAAGTTAGGATTAACTGAAGAGCTTGTTTTAGTTAATTAACTAGGTAAAAAGAGAACTTACTAGAGCTTGTTAGTAGTTTTCAGTACCAGCTTAGATAAAACGTATCTTAAATAATCAGGTATATGTTGATTGCATAATTAGGAAAGTCGTAGCAGAACTAAAACAATTTTTATTACTAAATTTCATTTAGTTTATTTTCAGCTCCAATTCACAACAAAACACCCCATTTTCTTTTATTTAGTGTTTTATTGACTAGTATGTGTCTTACGCAAAGAGACATTGACTTTTAGGTTGTGTCCCTGAATATTCAACCCTGCTTCCCTGTACTACCCATTAGTGCAACCAAGCAGTGATAATTTTTTTGTTTAAGACATCCGCGACATCGTTTTAACAAGTAGCATTTGTATGGTTGTGGGACGGTTGAGAACCAGTGGATGTATGATGGTTGGGAGCCAGTAAGGGTAGGATGGCAGGGTGCCAATTATTGTATGTGTAATGTTGATATGTATGCTTGATAGGGATGATGGTGGGATCGACTATAAAGTCGATAGTCTTGCTTGTATGCATTGTATGTATGATGGAATATGTTGTATACCGGGGAACTTATTAAGTTTTATGCTTACGCTGTTAAGTTAAATATTTTTCAGGTTGTTCGAAGGAATGACACGATGTGACTGTACATTCACATCGAAGATTTATTGTTATTGACTTCCGCTGGTTTTTATAAATTAACTATGTTCAAACTTATGTTTTCGTAACGAAAGGATAATATAATATGTTTTTCAGGAATGTGCTTAAATGTTTAATTTGGTTTTAAATGTAAATTTTTGTTGAATTTTGTGACGTATCAGATACAACGAATAAAAAAATTATAATAAGGGAAATGACATAATTACCCAACGAAGTTTCTAGGGTTGGTCCATTTAGTCCTTAAGGTATTTTCATTGCTTTATAGGGGCATAAAATAGAAAACAACCTGCTTTTTTAGTCACCATAAATTGTTTTAGCCGGTTTCAGTGTCAAGTCAGCTATTTTTTCCACATCAGCCATTGGAAAGTCAACATCACATTTTGACAATTTCTTTGTTACCAGATCCAAACACAAACCCATCATCCTCTCTTGTTTTATCAAGATAAAATCTTTCATTTCTTCTCTCTACTTCACCACCAAATCACCATCTCCCTCTTGAACTACATGAATCCTTCCCTCATCTTCCATTTCCAAATCCATTCTCCTTTCTGGAGATGAATTTCAATGAGTTTGCTTGCAATCCACGAGTTTTGTGCTTCAACATCTGTTCACGGAGGTCGACGGTGTCAACCTGGTTTGTTTGTCCCTCTGGCTTATAGTAACCTGTAACTGGATCTAGAACCCATGGAGTACTCGATTTCTTTGAGTTATCACATCCTTTATGCATCATTACAACTCTATTTCCCCCACGCTTACGGAAATGCTCCCCTGTGTTACCATTGCAAATCCACGTCTGTCAAGATCATCAAAAACATAATCAGGTACTTAATCTACATATCAAATCTCAAACAGAAAGAATATAATCAGTTAAATGTATGTAACATAAAACTATTCTTTGATTTTTTTTCTCTCTTCTTCACTACCAAATCGCCCTCTCCTTCTTGAACTACCTGAATCATTCCCTCCGCTTCCATTTCCAAATCCACTCTCCTTTCTGAACTACATGAATCCTTCCCTCCTCTTAGCAGATGAACTTCATAATTGTGTTTGGATGCTCTTATTGAAAACTGTAACTGTGATTGAGTTGTCAAATTAGGGAGGCCTAATTTCCTAGATGAAGAGGACAATTGTTACTTCAGTTTGTAAGGAAATACCCGAGTGAAAACCTCGCGACTCTCGTGAAGATATACCTCTCCGATCTAAAACCAAAAGGTTCAACCACCGCTACATCCATCACTCGACAGATCACAAAAATCGCCGCCTACTTCCTCCAGCACCATGCCTAGAGTTTGCAGTGATCTGGGACTTTGGTAGTTTGTGAAGGATGAGGAACGAGAGGGAAGGAAGAACCAGGAAAACGTTGTCGTGGATTTGTGTAAGATCCAATTTCTGGGTATTTGAAGAACGAAGGGAAGATGATTTATCAGATACCTGGGTCAAGGAAATGGGGTCCTAAGAAATGCTTATGTGGCAAGGGGTAACCGATTTACCCCTTCAATTCTTCCAAAAGGACCTAATAAACCCGACAAAAACTAGTTTACGCCCTCATAAAGCAATGAAAATACTTTAGGGACTAAATGAACCAACCCTAGAAACTTCGTATGACATTTATGTCATTTCCCATTATAATTACCATTATGTGATGGCCATATTATGTTACTTAAGGGTAGGCGATGGATGATGTTTACCAAAAAGCACCATCTATACAAGATTTGAAAAAAAAAACATGGTACCGAATAAATAGATAGAGTTAGGAAGAGAGATATAACGAATAAAAAATATAAGGGGAAATGACACAAATACCCTACGGAGTTTTTAGGGTTAGTCTATTTAGTCTCTAAACTATTTTTGTTGCTTTATGAAGGAACAAACTTGTTTTTGTCGGTTCAATTGCGTCATTTTTGAAGTTTTGAAGGGGTAAGTTGGTCACATTTTTGCCACCTCATTTATTAATGTTGCATAAGCTTGTTGATTGTGTCATTTGCTAACTGTCACCTCATTTATTCATGCCACATAAAGCAAAATGAACAATTTATAGCAAAATGAGCCACAAGTAAGCATTTTAAAACAAACTCGTAAAAATTGTTGTGTGTGTGTGTATGAGAGAGAGAGAGAGTATGAAGTGAGGCTTACAATCATCATAGATTCTCTTTTGTTTCTCACACAATCTAGAAACTTCGGTATTTATGAAATTGAATAAAAAAACAATCGCATCCTTTTCGCAACTTCTTAAGGTAGTGTTTAAAATGGGCACCCAAGAATCTGAAGGAAATTGCAAATAGTCGCATCTTTCAGAAATTGAAGGTTTAGAAAAATTATTTCAATGTTCTAAGTTTTCAGAAAATAGATTGTAAAAAGTCGGTGAAGACTTCTGAACCATAAAGATAATGACTTTCCTGTTGGTTGATGTTTGGAACCAAGATGAAGAAGCACATAAAATGAAAAAAATTATGTTTATGAGATGAAAATTACTTACTTGTAGTGGTTCAGGAATCACGATTTAGAATTATCAGCAGATTCAAATCAACATGAACATCGATTTTCAGAGTTGAAACTATTGAAGGGGCGCTGGAGGCGGTCGGCGTTATTGGAAGGTGGAACTGGAGGTAGGTGTCACTGGTATTAGGTGGAGGTAGGTGTCATTGGTATTAGGTGGAGGAGGAAGAATTGATGACAATGACAAGAAGGAAGACGGCCGATGGCGTAGAGGGAGGAGGAAGAAGTGGTTGTCTATGTGAGGAAGAAGAATGTCGATTTAGTTCACCGACATTTGTCTTGTTATGGTGGAGGCAAATTTTAATAGGGTTAATAAGAAATTGATCCCTAAAATAAAAGGATATCACAAGTTAATTTGGGATATTAATTATTGGCAAATATTATGGATGTGACACTCAAACCGGGTAAAACAAGTCCAGGGGACTAAATATACAAGTTGTCTACGAATTTGTTCCCTTATAAAGCAACAAAAATAGTTTATGGATTAAATGAACAAACCCTAAAAATTTGATAGGGCATTTATGTCATTTCCCCAAAATATAATTACCGCCACCTTGAATGCAAGATTTGAAAACCATAAAAAATATGATGTCCAATTTTTTTTATTAGATGTAGGATTTATTACTTGTAATAGTAATACTATGTTATGTATTAATTATTTTTTAATCAATATATGTATTAAATTGTTACTTGTAACTTTATGTTATGTATAAAATTGATGTAAGATAATTTTGTTAAAATCTAATCAACAAACATTTTTGAAAATCAATATAAATTTGCAAAAGAAATATGTTTGGAATATTATTATTTTTTTTGTCTAAAAGTATTTGAAAATCAATATAAATTTGCAAAAGAAATATGTTTGGAATATATATATTTTTTTGTCTAAAAGTAATGTAATTAGTTTGAGATAAATCATTTTTCGTATCAGATATTATACTAGTATGATACTATCATATAAAAATCAGGTTATGGATCAAGGTCATATAAGTTAATTTAGCACTACACAAAGCATAAAAGCGCGGTACACCTAAAACGTAAAACCAACTCACTTCTATTCTTTGAATCAAAATGGTTAATGACAATCACTTGAATACTTGATTCACATTCGTTCGTTATGATTAGCAACATTTTGTTGACTGTAATTTTTTTTTTTTATTAAAATATAATACATTTTAAAGTTATCTTTTGACACGTCACAAATACTCCAAAAAGCTTAAAGGGTTTAATCATTTAAATAGCCCGTTAGCCCAATATCCGTTAGCCCAAGGTTAAATCAATTTGGGAATCGGCTCTTACTTTGCTTGTTTGCTTAGTCAGTTGAAGTCGATTCTCGATTGTGATTTTGTGAAGACCTGAATTGAAGACAGAAACAGAAGGCTCCACTCCCTCAGCCCCTGCTCCGCCCAGCACCTCTGCCGGCGTCCAGCTCCACAGCCTCCGGCGACTTCTCCTCCTTCCCCTGCTCATCGCCGTATGCCTTCGCCACCCCTTTGAAGCCACCGGCCGGAGACCTTCGATAACCAACCACAGCTACACCGTCGCAACCCACATCAGGTTCCATTCTTCTTCCTTTTTTCCTGCTTTCTTTCTTCCTTTTTTTCTGCTTTCTTTTGAAATCGCTATTCTTGATATAAAGTTGTACCAAATTCATGGTTACCAATTGATGTTGGTGTTATTATCAATTGATGTTGGTCGATTTCTTCCTTTTCTTTCTGCCTTCGATAGCAATAACTACTTGTTTTCTACTTCTGATTTGCTGTTCATATATGATATCCGATGTGTTTGTTGTTCATACATATGCATGATGGTTTTTTGATTTGAGTTGGGATGGTTGGCATTGCAGGCAAACTGTTTGATCAAATGCCTTAGAGGGATGTATAAGGATTACAAATGCCTGAGAGGGATCAGGGATGTGTGGACATATTTTCCCTTGTCCTTTGTTTTTATCATGTTTTTAAGGATTACAAAAATGGTTCATGTTGCTGGTTAATAAGTCCAAATATAAAACTGTTAATTCTAATAAGAAAAATATATTAAAATGTGAAGGAAGTCTTTTTTGGTCATTTTACACATATGACATATAAGCAATTTTTTTTGCCAAACACTAAAAAGTGCTTATCAGCTTATAGCATCCAAACATTTTTTTAAAAACTCATTTTTGACACATCTATAAGCTAATAAGCTATAAGTTAAAAAGTGTTTATCATTTTAAATAAGCTTAGCCAAACACCCCCTAACTCTCTAAGTTCTTGTTTAGGTTTATTTCAATTATTTGTTATTTTGTTGAAAACTTGAAAATAGCAATTAGTTTTATTTGATTAGTGTTAGTACTTAGTTAGTTGTTACTTATTATTACAAATTTCTATTTGATTTTTTGGCCAAATTGGAGGATGGAAATGAAGAACACTATGATGTCTATTTGATTAGATTTAGTACTTAGTTATTACTTGTTTAGGGTTATTTCAGTTATTCGCCAAATTGAATGGATGGAACACTATAAGGAATTTCCTAAATCTCTTTTTATACAAAACAATAATTTAATTTGTCAGATCATCTCCAACTATATTTAACAAATTTAAATGGCATGAATGTAGTTCTCATCCAATCAATGGTAAATTTTGATAATAAATTTTGTTGACGGTTTTGTGTAATTTGATCTTATATTATTCATGAACTATCAAATTTCATTTACATATGACCTACAAAATATATTACAACAATTTGTGAGAGCTTTATAAGGAATTTAGTGTTAGACTATGATATATAAAATTTATCCCATTTTATCAGTTATTAAATTTAATTATACTTATATATTTATATACCATGATTGTTATGTCTGAATAAAATAGTAGTATAATATTAAATTAAAACAAATTGTTTTATTATTAAAATATTCAAACTAATTTTTTAGTATTATTTTAGTATATGGTTATGATATCATTTTAGTAAATTAGTATATATAGTTTCTTTACTAAATTGATGAAGCGACCAAATTGATTAAATATTCTTGTTTAAAAGCAAACGTTTGAGAGTCGATGGGGTAAACTCGTGGTTAATCAATAGTTTAGGGATTATTTTGTGATTTGAGTGCAGAATAAAGAATTCGGAGATTTTATGTTACAAACAATGCCAACGGCTGATTTTATCCTTTTGTCGGTGCAGAAACTTTGCAATTAATCTTTTGTCGATCTTCATCCTTTCAGTTTCACTGCGTAATTTCACGTTCTTTGATCTGCATTTGGGATCCAAACAATAAGATGATCACAGGTGCGTCTGCTTCTTTCATTGTAGTTCAACTGCTCGATCAAATGCCCCTGAGAAAATTGTTTTTGCTTTTCATTCACCTACATTACTTTTCTCTCGAAAACCCTTCTTGTATTTCATTCCCGTTGAATTTTCTTCGACTCTGACACTCACGTATGCCCTATATGGTGCAACGTAGGATGCCAATATCAGACTAGAGGCCTTCTCTTGCACAAATGGCAATACCCTGGTACGTTTTAATTTTATACTCTCTTAGTCACAAAAAGGAAATATGAATTTGAAGTTCTAAACTCATATCAATTTCTACTATTTCATTTTTTTGCAAATACAGGTTTGAGGAAGACAACATCACATACATTAGACGCGAGGTTTTTGAAAAAGAAACCAATAAGTTGTTCGATACATCAACCAATCGAAATCTCCCCTGTTGTTAACAAGAAGAGGGATGAAAATAAGAGAGCATTGGTTAAAATGTGTGGAATCACATCAGCTAAAGATGCAGCTCTAGCAGCAGAAGCTGGAGCTGACTTTATTGGAATGATCCTTTGGCCTAATTCCAAACGTTCAGTTTCAATATCAACTGCAAAAGAAATCTCAAAAGTTGCACGCGAATATGGGGCAAAGCCTGTTGGAGTATTTGTTGATGATGACTCCAACTCTATTTTGAAAGCTTCTGATGATGCGGATCTTGAATTTGTGCAGGTAGATTATCAACATCAACATAAAATATATATATATATATGGCATTCGGATTTGTATTCATTTGATAACATGCTAAACCTGTGTTTTACAGCTTCATGGAGATGGATCACGGGATGCATTTTCTGTTCTATCAAAGGAAAAACAAATCGTTTATGTTCTTCATGCGAATGAAGATGGTAAACTTCTCAATCATATTTCAGATGGAGATTGTTGTTTGGTAGATTGGATTCTGGTGGATAGTGCAAAAGGAGGAAGGTAGTGGTTGGGTGACTGAATGAGTAAATTTCAGATAAATATATGTTCAACTAACAAGTGGTTGGGTGTACATTGGCAGTGGTAAAGGATTTGACTGGTCAAAGATCAATCTACCACCAATAATGAGCAAAAACGGGTGGCTATTGGCAGGAGGGATCAAACCAGAAAATGTAATTTCAGCTCTTTCAATCTTAAAACCAGATGGAGTTGATGTGAGTAGTGGTATATGTGCTTCAGATGGCATTCAGAAAGATAAATCACGCATATCATCTTTCATGACATCTGTAAATTCTGTTCAATATTAATCATAATCCAAAAAAAAAAAAAAAAAAAAAAACATGAAAATGTGCTCCTTGTCTGTAACTCTTTTTTGATTTCATGTCAAATCAATGGAAAGCAACAATGAAACCTTTCTATTAATTGATATTTCTCAAATACTTGGGTGGTGTTGTATTTTATTAATTTAAGTTTGGTATAAAAAAATGACCCCACGCCTTTTATTATCATGTCCTTTTACTCAAAGTATTACGAAAAAACATGGTTTTAGGTGGTCCACTTATCATGTATAGATTCATTTGTATCCAAGGATAGACAATAATGGTCCTTTAAGATAGAGATGTATGTGGACAACAATATTTCTTTTTCCTCTATAAAAGAAAACTGAAAACGTACTTTTAGCTTACATGTGTTACAAAATATTAACATAATAAATTACCCTCAACAAATTTATGGGGATATGAATGTAATTATACAAAGAGATTTGTTCAAAGCTTGGGGTCAGTTTGATAGTATACAACATCCCCTTCGTCACTCACATAATGATCTTTTTTCATACTATTTGCAACAACTCCAAGCAAATGGAATGGAATTGGCCATGATTTCTTTGGCTCCCTGTAATATTTCCCAAGCACTGGTTTTGCAGCTTCGGTCTACATTATCACAATTTAATTTCTGTTAATATTTCTTAATTAATAATATAATAAATTTTATAAAGAAAGAGTACTTACTGCCTCTATTAAGTTATAGTGTGGGATTTGAGGGAAAAGATGATGTATGACATGGGTTCCTATGTCATGATGGATGTTATTGATCCATCCATAGTCACGATCAAGTGTTGTTAGCCCTCCTCTTAAGTAACTCCATTCCTGTTTTGTTTCAAATTGAAAACAATATAATATAAGAAATTTATTCTAGTTTGTTATAATATTTAAGATATAAAGAGATTGAAATTTGGGGTTTAGTTTAAAGTTCAAACCTTGCCACGGTACCATGGGAGCTTGTCTTCATGGCCATGGTGATGCAAGTAGGTTACTAAATCGAGCCACATCACAAATCCCTGAATTTAAATCACCAATTTAGTTAAAATATTCATAATGGTAAAATGGTCATTTACTATGTCTGGATGTAGATTTAGATACAGACGTATCATTCATTTGGATTTAGATTCAGACAGTTCATTCAACCCAAAACAAAACAAATAGAAAGGGCTTTTCTTGTAGACATACATACATCAAAACATCATTACTCGTTCAGTCAATTTATCCATATGTATAAACTGCTGAAATTTGGAGCAAGTGCTATATACACAAGACGTTTTTTTTTTCTTTTGGACTAAATGAATTGTTTGAAAGTGAGTAAATGACCATTTTGCCCTTATAGGTGTATGTAGTCAAATAAACAATGGTATACTATACACTTTGAGAGTTTAGATTAAGTCCATTACATAAAAGAGGAAAGAGAAACTAACCAAATAGGGGATGCCATAGAGTTTAAGTACTTGAAGTGGGCCAATTACAAAGGACAAACCCACAAGAAGGGCAGCCATGGCTGTCCAACAAACGGTTGATGTGATCACATCTTTCTTCTCATTAGGCAGAAATAAATCGCTCTGTGGGTGAAAATGAGACCCTTTCTTTCCTGGACTTCGACCCCACTGATATCATATAATTTGAAACCCCAAACATAAGTTCAAATAAAAATAAAAACAAAATAAATCAAATGATCAAGTTTTAAAAGTATCAGTTATCAGATTTCTATTAAATATTATTATATGGTAAACTTGATAAGGCTCACCAGATAGAAAGGGTATGCTAGCATAGGGAAAGGCAAAGTGAATCTCAACATGCGAGTTGCCGTATCTAAACTTCTATAAATCTTCTCAGATAACTTTTAAAAAAAAAAGAAGCACAAATTTCAAGAAATTAGATTGTGTTATAGATATAATAAGAAATGAAAATCTATATTACTAAACTTACCGGATGCCAAGATTCATCGTTCTCAACATGTCCATGGTTTTGATGATGAGTTCTATGGCTAATTCTCCTATAAAAAACAATCATAACAATTAAAAAAAAAATAATAATCTAATAAAAAGTGAATCTGAGTAGACATGAATAAGGAATCATTTGTTGAAGTTGAATTTAATATTAAGAAAATGAAAAAGGAGTAGGAATATAATATACCATCCATGGTAAGGTACAAGAATTGAAGAATGAAGAAGATGACCAACTACACTATTGAGTTTTGCATTATTAGAAAAGCTTCCATGGCCACTGTTCAATCAAAAAACAGAATCATAAATACAGAACTAAAAGCTAAAAACAATCATTTGTTACACAAAAAGATGATTAAAAAGTAATTGAAGAATTAGTTATCATACCAATCATGGCCAAGAACAAAAAGAGCCCAGAACATTGTTCCTTGAGCAACCCAATACAGAGGCCAAACCATCATATTGTTAAAATAAACCGCCGCCGCCGCCAACCCAAAAACTACCACCACATCTCTTAACACATAACTCATCGACTTCCATGGATTCTTCACCCAGCAATGTTTTGGGATGGCGGCTCTGATGTCAGCCAATGTGAAGGGTGATGGTGCTCCGGGGTTGAACTCACTTTCTCCGACGTTAATCTTTTCGTCTTCTTCTACAAATTGGACACCCACCGGCGCACTCACTTTCAGTGCCCATCTCCTATCTCTTGAAACCGATGAGTTTGGCCGGAAAATCTTTGACGACGTCGGAGCTATTCTGATTGAATTCGGAATGGTGGAACTTGAGATTCGTGTTCTGGGATTAGAATAAAGTCTGGGGAGTGGTCTTAAACCACATTCTGATAACACCCAGGTAGCCATTGGAGATACCCAGATGATGAAATCGAAAAAACCAGAAGCTTTTCAGTAATGGGTCTGTCTTTCTAGAGAGAGAAAGTGTAGAGAGAGGAACCGTGTCTGTGTGAGTGTGTGTGTGGAATTGAAGGTAATGAAGGTGTTCTTGAGGAGATAAAACGCCCACGTCTTCTGAATAAATCAGATCTTTGTCCTTGTGGAATCTCAATCACCTCTCTCCTACTCTATGGCTCTCCTTTGCTTCCAGTTGACATCTTATATGAATCTGGATCCATACATATTTATATGTAGTGTTTGTATATATAAAATCTGATGGGTCTCTGTTTCTACCCAATTTCCTTACTCCATTAGATCTGCTTTTGATAAGACCCTTTTTCTATATGGTGTGAAAGAAGAGGGACGTGATTTTTGTGTGTGAAATTGGAGAAATACTAAATTTGATTCATTTTATAATAATTGAATAAATTACAAGTAATTACCGATGACGTTTCTAAACTCTCATGGATTATTACTTTATTAAGTTGTGCTATCGTGTTATATTTGTCGTCAGATAGTTGTAGGGTTGTGTACACATTTTTTAAATTTAGTTATTTAAGTAGATGGGTAATAAGTAATGACTCAATACAATACCATTTTACATAAAATGGAATGCACGTTTTTCTCGATTATTGAAGGAGGCAGAGTCCAAAATTAAACACGACCAGAAGTTGCTTTTCAGTTTCTGTGTTGCGGCTGCGAAAGAATGTACGGGTCCAACCGTCCAAACCGTGTGAAGGACTGTTGAATTCAATCAAACTTCGTCCAACTCCAACGTCATTCTTTTCACTCGGTGACGACTGCCAAGAAATAAAACTGTGTTCTTAAATCCTAAATAAATCCTTATATTATGTTAATAAGCATTAAGCAGTGCGGAAAGACTTCATTTAAGTTAACCTTAAATAAAAGAGAAAATTACAAATTTAACCTAATACACTAATTACTTTGTGGAAAATAGCCAAAAAAAACTCAAATGACATTTTTAGTCACTAAAATCGCAGATGTGTATAAGCTATCTGCGATTTCCCCATGCCATCTGCGAACGTACAAGTGGTTAAAGCACAGTCGTGTTTTAACCACTTGTACGTTCGCATGTGTTTTTTTTCGCTGTATATATACCATTTTTCCAGCCTAAAATCGTAGATGGACTATGTCCATCTGCGATTTCCTCTCGTTTCACCTGCGATTTTATGATTTTTTTTTGTTTTTTTTTTATTTTGACTACGAAATTTATAGGGTTTGACTACGAAATAACCTTATTATATATAAAAATTTTCAAGAAATTATCATTTTTGTTGTTATTTCGCTGTATATATACCCCTTTTCGGGATTGTTGATGAAATCGTCCATTATGGATCTATGGAAATCACTAGGAGAGAGTTCCTCTAAAAAAATAGTGAAAAATGAAGAAAAAAAAAACGTTTTTATATTAAAACTCTACGAAATCACAGATGGAAAACACTAAATCACAGATAGATTGTTCCATCTGCGAACGTACAAGTGCCTAAAGCACAGATGTGCTTTAGGCACTTGTACGTTCGCAGATAGAATGCGAAATCGCAGATGGGCTTAATTCATCTACGATTTTAAGGGCTAAATTTGTAATTTGGGTTTTTTTGGCTATTTTCCACAAAGTAATTAATGTATTTCGCTAAATTTACAATTTTCTCTAAATAAAAACGTTTTTTTATAAAAATTATTAGGAATAAATTATATTTATCGTTTTTTTAGTCTAACGGTACGGTGTTTGCCCTCCTACATGAGGTCGCAGGTTCAAATCTCATTTGGGACATACATAGTATTAGGAGTATGTTAGAAATGGATTAGATTTTTCATTTAAAAAAACATAAAAAATGTTATTTAAAAGATTACCAATGAAGTTGGGGAGGTACGTGTGTACAGCGAATTTGTTCTTATACGACCAAAATGGTAGGAGTCAAAGATGTTGTGTTGTAGTGCCCTTATGGGGTCCTCTCTCTCATGATTTATTCTATGTGTCTAGAATTGAAATTGTTCTTGATAGGATTATTGATGTAATTTCTCTTAGCAATCAAATTGGATAGAAAGCAAACGAAGAACTCTAAGCCTTTCTATTAATTCCATCAAATAAAAAAAGTCCCCACTAATGAAACATCAACTT